TCCGGGATTGCAGCAAGATCTTGATTAACTAGGACAGTGGGACTGAGGAATGGCAGATGGAGTTTAATTTAGGTGAACACAAGGTGTTGCATTTTGATGGGTCAAACCAGGGCGGGACTTACACAGTCAATGGTAGGACCCTGGGGAGTGTTATAGAACAAAGAGATCTAGTGGTTCAGGTTATTGCTGCTTGCAAGTGGAGTCACAGGTAGACAGGGCAGTGAAGAAGGCTTTTGACATGTTTGCTTTCATCAGTCAGAGCACTGAGTATAGGAGTTGGGACGTTTTGTTGCAGCTGTTGGTAAGGCTACGTTCAGAGTACTGTGTGCAGTTCTGATTGCCGTACTTTAGAAAGGATATTATTAAACTAGAAAGAGTGCAGAAAAGATTTACTAGGATGCTACCTGGACTGGAAGGTTTGAGTTATAAGGAGAGGCTGGATAGACTGGGACCTTTTCCCGGAGTGTAGGAGACTGTATTGAGCTCTATAAAATCATGAGAGGCATACCTAAGGTAGATAGCCAACAGCCTTTCCCCATGGCAGAGGAGTGTAAAATTAGAGGGCATAGGTTTGAGGTGAAAGGGGAGAGTTACAAAAGGGTCCAGAGGGACAATTTTTTCAAATAGAGGGTGGTGAGTGTCTGGAACGGGCTGCCAGAGGTAGTGGTAGAATCGAGTAGAATTTTGTCATTTAAGAAACATTTAGACAGGTACATGGATGGGATAGGCATGGAGGGATAGGCACTAAACACAGGCAAATGGGACTAGATTAATTGTGAGAACTGGGCTGCCAGGGCAAGTTGGGCCAAAGGAGCTGTTTCCAAGCTGTAGACCTCTATGATTCCATGACAACGAATGAATAGTTGATACAGTTCCAAGTCAGAATGGTGCAAGGGGAACCTCTAGATGGTGGTGTTCCTAAGAAAGTGCTATCTTGTCCTTCTAGGTGGCAGAGGTCACAGCATTACAAGGTGTTGGCGAAGGTTTCTTGGTTAGGTATAGCGGCCCTTCTTGTAGATAGTGCACACTGCAGCCTGCATGTGTCAACCCGTTCACGTTGGAGTGAATATTGACAGTGGTGGTTGGAATCTGATTTGCTGAATAGTTTCAGTGCAGAAGGAGGCAACTTGGCCCAACATGTCTGTGCAAGCCCCGAGAGTGTCTCACCGAATGCCATTCTCCTGCCTGCTGCTCGTAACTCTACACTTTGATCGTTTTCAAATAACTGTCCCATTTTCTGTACGAATACCTTGATTGAAGCTCCCAGATTGAAGTATCAATCAACTGGGCTGCTTTGTCCTGGATGGAGTCGAGTTTCTGGAATGTGATTGGTGCTGCTGTCATCCAGACAAACAAAGAATATTCCACCATACTCCCAACTTTACCTTGTAGACAGTGGACATACTTTGGGGAGAAGGGACGTAAACTGATTGCCACAGAATTCCCAGTCTCTGAGAAGGAAGGTCAGTGCTGAATTGACTGTAGTTGGTTGGACTGAGGAACAACCCTGAGGAACTCTTGCAGTGATTGACCATAACACCTATAACAATCTTCCTTTGTGTTAGGGATCGCAGTAACAAGTAGAGTGTTTTCACCCCAATTCCCACTGGCTTTATGCTGCATTTGGTCAAATGTGGCCTCGATGTTAAGGGGCAG